GTGGGAAGGTGGGGGTATGTAACAGGGACCCCTAGCCCTGTTACCAGAAGGCAAGTTGGCCCCTTTAAGACCAGAACTTTCTGGGCACAGTGTGCTGGTAAGGTAGAGGTTAAAAGCTGAGCCTGGCCAGCTAGTCAGGTGACCAGAAGGGGGCAGGCCAGGTCTATAAAAACCCTGGGCTGGGCAACAGTGGGGGCCAGCAGCCAAAGGGGAAGGAGTGAATATAAGAGCTCTATGGAGAGGCTTGGTAAGTGGTCCAGCTGCTGCAGGAGGGGAATGACTGAGGGTTCTTGGAAAAGCGGCAGCAGCCCCAGGAGAAAGACCATAGCAGATGGTGGGGAGCAGAAGCACAAACCCTGGAGAAAATGTAAGCTGGCATGCTGCCTTCTTTAATTATATTTTTTCTGGGGATTATAGCTCATGGACATACTGTTTATAATTTTTGAGGGATTAACACCTGTGGTTTAGGTGAGGCTATTGGGGAAGGAGGCCTCATTGGGGGGGCCCCACTACACTGTGAGGACCCCAGTACCAATGTGGGTGCAGCATTGGGGGTGCACAGGCCCTGGCACCAATGTGGGTGCAGCCATAAAAGGCCCAAGTGGCTGGGTGCACCTGGGGGTGTAACTGTATAGTATGGCAGCGGGGGTTGGACTGGGACAACGGAGGATCAGGGCTGCTGCCTAGCTTTGAACTTGTAGCCCACTGGCTGCAGGGCCAGTGGACAGGCCTCTGGGCCAGAGAGGCTGGGCTCCAGACTAGGGGCAAAAAGGAGGGCCACGAGCCCCAAGACCAAGGAGCTAGAGCCTTGGAGTCAAGCCCTATCTGGTAGGTTTAGACGGGGAAGCTAGAGAAAGACGGGGGTCAAGGCCTGTGGTGGCAGAGAACCCCAACATATGAAATACAATAGGCAGGTCTCCCATTTACAAGAACATCCATATAATATTTCTGTCGAGACATGGCAGGCGAGAATAAAGCGGGACACGAGAAACTTTAAGGGGACTTCAAGGGCACCCCTCATAGGTTGCAAATAACAGACAAAAGATGGCACTGGGGAGGGTGACCTGTTACAGGGTCCTATGAGGGAGCACCAAGAGTGCACAGTCCCTGCTGTGGCAATGCCTCCCACCCCACAGGTGCCTCCCTGCTGGCCCTACAGCCACCATCTGCCCCAGCCCTGTAATCCTCTTAGGCATACAGGGGGTCTGGGGTCACCCAACTATCCAGCTCCTACATGCATAAGTCTGTTATCTTCACTCCCAAGTCTGGGAATTGGTATGCCAGGTTTAAAGCCCCCTACCCTATGCCTCCCTTCCAAGTTTCTGTGTTGAGTTCAGCCTCTGCAACATTCCTCCTGAACCAAACCCCCTTTCCGTTTCCCCCTCCAGGTTATTTCATGCCTTTCACACACCTCCCCTACCCCTGAATGCCCCTACCCTGCTGCCCTCCCTCCTCAAACGTTTGCTGGTTTTCATCAAAGGGAAGAAGGACCAAGTTGAGACATGGGCAACATTCAAAAGGTTTTCTTTATTAAAAACAAGAGAAATTTTGGCAACTGCAACACTGTAAACTGAGGCACTTCTCTTCTTTGTACCGTATTTCCCTGCCCCTCCCCCCCCCCCCCCCCCCCCCCCATCCTAGTGTGCGCGCCTCAGGGGATGGGGCAGAGTGGGGGGGGCAAGAATGGTGTTCAGGCAATCAAGGTTGTGGGTACTGCTGCCCAGGATGCAGAGCCAGAGGATTCTGGGGCAGGAGATCCATCACCTGGTGCCAGGAAACAGGCACTGGGAGACTCAAAGCCCTCCAGCCCTACTCATTCAGGAAGCACTCCCAGTCCCCAAAGGCCAGGAGGACCCAGGCTCTCTACTGCTGCGTGCGCCAGTGCCCCCAACATCAGTGGGGGGCTCTCTGCAACCTCCCTGCACTGCCCATGCTCAATGGGCCATGCCTTGTCAGTGCAGTGTACCACCTCTAACCAAGGCTTCTCAGAAGACCTTCGCACTGGCCTCGCATATGTTGTGGAGGACACGGGTAGCAATGAGGCATGGCAGGCTTTCCTCCTCCACTTTGAGGCAAGTACTGAGAGCCCACAGGATGACGGAGAAGTAGCCCTTGCCATTGATGAATGCCCAGGCATGTTGGAGTAAGTGGAGGATGAGGATGTGGGGGCCATCCACAGCTCCCCACATAGTTGGAGAAGCCCATATGGCAGAACCCAGCGACCAACTCTGGAGGTTGACAAAGCAGATGAAGCGGTATGCCAGGATGTTCTGGATGACCACACATGCCTCCCAAATGGCTTCTCTGGCCATGGACATGCCCATACCAAATGGTTGATGATATAGCAGAGACTGCTGGGGGTCACCAGCTTCATGACAATGATGCCCACCTGCTTCTCCAGAGGGGTGGCCACGTGCCAACATCCTGGTTCACAATGTGGGAGCTACCTGGGCAACGATGTCCATGAAGGTAGCCTGGTACATGCAGAAGGACTGGACTCACTGCTTGTCATCACAGATGTTCAGGACAATCCACTCCCACCAGTTGCTCCTGCTGGCATGGGCTCTGGACTAGTGCTTCATGGTCTGGAGGTGGTGCCACAGCACCCTGGCATCCATAGTGTCCTGGGTGGCCTCATCTCCATCAGCGACTTGGAAATCAGTGGCCCAGTCCAGGATAGTTGACAGGTACAGGGTGCAGTAGCTAACCCTATGTGGTAAGGCCAACTGCTGGTTCAGGGGCAGGAAGCCATGTCCCATGGCAAACAGCTGCCAGATCATGTCCTGATGGCCATGTATGATATCCTGCAATGTTCTTCAAAAGTTACACAGGGAAACGAGCAGAACATGTTACACATCCTGGGTCTGTGTGCTTGGATATGGGTGGTGGGGCACCATGGCAGGGTGAGGGCAGGTCAGGACATGGAGGCACATGCAAATCATGAGGGAGGAAACTCACTCTGGGGCTCTTCTCAAAGCCTCAGGTCAGGGAGCTGGGGAGGGTCTGCAGTAATGTGGTGGAAGGTTGAGGGGCATGCTTACCCACACCAGGTAGCCAATCAGGGGAGGCTCAGGCACTTGGCTGTACTCGGCAGTCTCCAGGAGCCCAAGGAGCCTACAAGGAACGTTGGGAGGCATGCAGGAGCACCCCTCACCTGCAAACCCTAGCCAGTGCAGGCTGCCTGCACGTTCCCCCACCAGGAGGGTGAACATGTATACTGTTCTTCCTCAGCTAAACTAGGCCACTTACAGAAAACCACATAATTTAGATCTATTCCTCCCTTGTGGTGGCTTTTTTTTATTTTTTTTTTTTATCTACATGGCCTAACAAAGCTAGATATGAGGCATGTCTACATGTTCATTAATGCACAGTGGTTACTGAACATTTAATTTAGTACTTGTATAATCAAGTACCAAATAAATGTGCAGTAACCAGAGTTAATGGGCAGCAGTACCAGCAAACACCTTTTAAGTGACACTGCTGTACAGTAGCCTAATAATACTATGTAGTAGCATATTGGCACTGTTTGTACTGTGATGCGCTACTGTGCTGTTAGCATCTCATGTAGACATGAGCATCAATCTCCAGACTCCCAATCGGGTACCTAACCCATGATCCCTTCTCCAATAAAGTGCCTACTGACCACCCAAATATTCAGATTTTTATTTAAACTTAATAAAAACATCTCTCAGGGATAAAATCTTGAATGAGATTTCTGATACCACTTGCTTTGGGTTTTAGATGAAACTAAGAAGCAAAGCAAATGAAAAGGGAGGAAAAAAAACATTCAGAAGATTCACTGGGGAAGCTATGGCAGGCCCACTGGGGGACTGTCAGAAGGAAAAAAATGCTGGTTCAGTCTGCGTTTTCATTTGCAAACAGGTGAAAGTATAGTTGATGCTTTCAGCAACCCATCAAGATTAATAACATTAGATAATCAATGTTTGTGATATCTGATCTCTCCAAAAGGACCAAATGTTGTTTCTTCACAATCCCTTTGTAATAATCAGCAGAAATGTCTCACAAAAATATCATTCAAAAAATAATGCCCCAGACGTTCTTCTAAACCAGACCCTCCTTGAGAGACATTTTATTCATGATTCATACAGACAACTTGGCAAAAACCTAATTAGATTACTTGAATATGAATGTCTCTAAAACAAGTGCAGACATTTACATGGAAGATGTACTCTACAGAAAAGTATTTTTGGACCACTAATGGACCACACATTCACTGGAATATGAAGGAGATCTTATTCCTGATCTGCCCCATTCCTTTATGCTACCAGGCAGAATGAATACTTTCTCATAAATACTCTTATCTCTTTTAAATAGGCAGTCATATTATTATATCTGTATCTTCCCACACAATTTCAAGAAACACTGGCCAATATTTTACAATCTTTCTGCAAAATTTATATAAAAGACCCCACACAAGAGGCTGGATTTTCCAAAGGATGTGACATTGAATTAGGAATCAGAACCCCTATATTCAAGCTTGGCTTCTGCTACTGACTTACAGTGGCCATATCTACATATACCCTTTACTGAGGATTAGACTAATTAGCTCCAGAGTAAAGCATCACTGTCTACACATGTGAAGGTATTGGGTCATAGTAAACTAATTAACACCTCCATAAGATAGTACTGTCCCTGACAGTGCTATCTTAAGGTGGAGTAATTAACTGTAAACAAATGCACATGTAGACACTGAACACAAGTGTAAACTGCGCCCAGTCAGCCCAGCCATCAGGGGGCCACACTTCTGCCTGCCACCTAGCCACATGGCTCTGTACTTTCAGCACCCTTGTAACCTAGCCAGCCCCTCCAGTGCCTGATGCTACCACCTGAAGCCTGGGGCAGAGCAAGGCAGGAGTGGCCCTGGTGTAAATTGCTCCACTCCAATTCAAATTGCTGCTGTCCCAGGAGCATGTGTAGACACTGAGCCCAGGAGTAGTTTACTCCACATCAAACTGCTCCAGAGTTTATTGTTTCAAATTAATTGCACATGTGGGCACGCCCAGTGTAACATTAAGCAAGTGGCTTGCCTTTCTGTGCATCAGTGGCCTTTGAGATCTAAGGAGAAAAAGTGCTATCCAAGTATCACTGCCACTTTATATAAGGTATCCACAACCATACAGAGAATAGGAATTTTAAAAAATCAAGTATATGGATCAAATAAATTTACAAAACTTGCATAACTTTTGTATTTGAACTATAAAATCTACCTCCAAAATCAACAGACTGCTATGATTCATGGAAAACACTGCTGATCTTGAAAGAGAACTTCCTAGAATAGCAGCCTTGATTAGATAAAGGACTGACCATCTTCAGTGACTATATCCTTCTAGAAAACACAGGAATGGCCTTCCCCCAATATTTGATGCATAGAAAAGCCAAGTACTAGAAAACAGCAACCACCCAGCTGTTTGAATAATGAGCTTGGCATGATGACTATATACAATGATTAAAAACAAATGTATTGTCTGTTGCATGACATGAATCGATACAAGCAAGAACACTAAAAATTTCCATTGTTTCTCAAATGCACTCTACTCCTATGTGGGCTGTTCTTGATTAAATCATTCATAACAGTCCAGAGAAACTACGTAACCAACACCCATCCCTCAACCTTTATCTGCGCACAGTGGTCAACAATACAAAATGAGTGGGGAAATGGTGTCACAAACATCTTTTTATAACAATAATGAAGACATTTACACAATCTCCTCAGGGGGTAGGGCATGCGCGTTGCGGGTTTCATCAGTTAGTTTTCAATTTTAGTTTGCAAGACGATAGATTGGAAGAAATTGACAGGAGATGTGATAAATGAATCTAAATTAGCCACAAGCAACAGGGCAATTTGAAATAACATTTATGTTGAGGGTGCTCTGGAGTTAGTTGTTATAATCATTCTTTAACATGTTAAAAAGGTAGAATATATTTGGGAGAGCCTAGGAGGAGAAGGGAGCAAAACAAACCAAGGGGATAAATATCTGGAAAGTAAATATCCTGTCAGCACATTTGGAATATTGCACTACTTGCCTGTTCATTTGTACTTTCAGCTGGTCTTTTATTTCTTCCTTGTGAGTCTTCCCTGTAAGCCTTGTGATATCTGGCATTCATATTTATAACAGGTTCCGTGGCAGAGGTTTTGATAAGCATAGGAGAGGTTACTGCAAAACAGGTTTTAATGGATACATTTCCTTCAGAGGTAGGTAATATATTTGTTTAAGAGGAGGCAAAGAAAAAATGCCCCTAATTCACTGCTCATTCAGTGAGTCAGCAGTGAGCTTCGGTGATACACATAGCTTCAAGTTCCCAGTAAAAAATTACCACAGGACCAGCCAATTCACTGGCTGCTTCCCATAACTCCTAGCTACCAATACAAAACAGGACAAATAAAAGCCCGCATCTTCTCCTGAGGCCTGTACCTCTGTACATTAGACAAGATCCAGGCATGCAAGTCTGTGCCACATCATGAAACCAGCAGATACTCGTACCTGCAATTAGCAGTGGGGAAGTGAGGCCTCTATCATCTCCCCCAGCCAGCAGCCCCAGAGTGTTGCAAATATTCTCAGCTTTAAGAAGGCACAATTCCAAGCCAGTGCTTTAGAGCACTCGGCCCCCGACCCCCACACACACCAGGCCTGGCTAGGCTTCCAGCGAGAACCATACAGCTAGACAGAAAGATATAGCTCTTCATCTCCTTTCACCAACCCTTATATCATCTCTCTGCATTTCCATACCATAGGCAAGCTCCATCTATTCCAGAGTGGGTGTCCTTTGTGGTCATATACTATGGGCCCAATTTTCTCTCACAACCATTGTACAGCAGTGTAATTCTTCTGATAGGTTTTAGGCACTAAGCCTTTATGTGCCCCATAAATTACCATACTACCTGTGCCACTCCATGTAAATAGGAAAAATAATAGCATCTGTTCACTGGGAATTGGTTTTCCAACAACGTACATTTCACCAATATAAATTACGCCAAACCATTGCTTTTGGTCACCATCGGCTTTGGCTGGACTAATAAGGAAAGTCTCTGGAGCTCTTTGTTAAACCCAAGAGTGATCTAATCCCCCAAGAAACTATTCCTCTATATTTTGACTGACCTGGAATTTTTGTGATTTCTTCAGGTGTCCTTGTTAGCTCAGACCCATCTGATGGTGTGAGATTAATAGGCCAACATTCTGTGAAAGTTTGCTCCGCTTCACTTTTCACATGTGCCTGCTGCCACCTTGTGCTAATAGGGCTACTAGCCACAGGAACGCTGGATGTCAATTTCTTCACAATGGAACTTTTAAACCTTGAATAGGTGGTCTTTCCAAAATCAGGGGTCTATTAAGGGAAGAGCCAAGAATTTAGCTGCAGTAATAATAGAAGAGAAAGTAAACTTCTGTCTAACCACAGATTGGCAAATACTCTCAAGAGTTGAAACAAGTTCCTATGACAATATTGCTAATATTATTTTATATCCCTTTAGAAAAGCCTTTTCACCATTCAGTTGATAGTGAACAAATTATGCCTCCCAGTGTATCACTCCTGTAACTGCACGTATCTACAGGAGTTGTATGAAAAAGAAACCTCCCCCTGTGACCTGAAAATCTGCATAGTACCTCAGCTGCTCTGTGAAAAAAATTGCATCCTCCAAAGTATCTGAGTGAAGTAAAGTGAGTAAATCTATGTGGTCATAAATCTATGCATCCTGCCCAGTCTCTTGACCCCTCTCAGTACAACTGTCCCAGAGCACATGGCACATGGAGGCAAATTAGTACCACTGAAGACAAGGTTCCCCAGAGCCCATAAGAAAGGAAAGTAAAGCCCAGTAGAATGCACAGTGACTTGAGCTATACCAGTGGAGGGCAACCTTTATGGCAGGCATGCCATAAGGGAAGTTTGCACCCACCGTGAGTGGCACCTTGATCCTCTTACCATGCCCAATTTGTTGCTCTGCTTTCTGCTCCCTGCCCTGTGCTCCCTGCTTGGTCTGTTGCTCTGCTTTCTGCCCCATATGTTGCTGTGTTCCCTGCTCTCTCAGTCACCCATGTCCCACACATAGAGGCTGCTCATGCCATTTGTATAGTGGCTATACGAGTGGTCTCCAAATCAAAAGAGAAATCCCAAGTATTTTCAATAATGCTTAGACTCCAGATGCAGCTACTAGTAACAAAGCTGAAATAATGGGCAATTTCAGCTACTTGCATACAAATTGTTTATATCTCTCTTCAAAAGGATTTTAGAGATGCATTTTTCTTGACACCTGACTTGACTGGTTTGTGAATGAATTAGTTCTAGAGAAGGAGCTATTCTCATCATGGTGTTAAGTAAAACATATAACTGATTCAAGTTATACCTGAGCCTTTAATAGTAAAGACATATGAACCAGTTACCACAAGGTAACCTACTCTGTGTATCTACATTGCATTGGCTACTCTGTATCAATTGCCTGAGTGCTTGTTACCCTACGGTAAAAGCAAGGTGGTTTACCTGTGAAGGCTGAAGAAGATACCCAACATTTACTGCAGGGTAAGAGTCATAGAGAAGTAGGGCTGGAAGAGATCTCCAGAGATCATCTAGTCCAAACCCCTGCCTGAGGCAAGATCATCTGTATTCAAACCATCCCAAACCATAATCCAAATTCTACATAAACCTACCATCAATACAGGCCTAACACCCTAACGTGGCACAGGTAAAGCAGGGGAACCATGTGACAGCCAGTGTCCTGCTTCTATGAAATGTTGTCAATATATGCTCAAGAGATCCCAAGGAGAGAGCCATGCTCCCTACTTCCTTCCCTGTCCCACCCTCCACACAGAGGAAGGCAAAACCCCCCGCAGTCCATACCAATCTGACCATGGGGTAAAATTCCCTCCTGACCCCAGATATGGTGATTGGTCTGACCCTGAGCGGAGAGGCAAGACCCTCTAGCCAAACACCTCCAGCTTTAGTCCCAGCAGGAGCATTGGCAAACCCCAATCAGAGTCCCTAGCTTTGGCCGTAGCCAACACCCAGTGCCTCAGAAGAAGGCTTAAAAACATACTGGCACATGTAGCAGTAAGGAGGGGTCAGTGGCAACCAGCAAAGCCCAGAAGCATAGGAAATACCCATAGTAAAACATATGCATAGCGACACCTAGATCATCCCCAACAGTGGCTATCCAACATCTGCTTGAACATCTCCAGTGATGGAGAGTCCACAACTTCCCTCGGGAGACTGTTCCACTTATAATAAATCCCTCCTCCTTATATCAATGCTGCTTTTCACCTTTCACTTTCATCCAAATGCATTCTGCTCTTCTGTCTTCTTTCTCCTGAACTAGGGAACAGGTGTATGTGTTTTTGACGTACAAGGCAACATCACCATCTTTTCTCCCAGCACCATCCTTCCAAAAGAGTGTAACCCTTGATGTTGACATTCCAATCGTAAGAACTGTCCCACCAGGTCTTGGTGATGCCAATCAGGTCATTGTTCTTTTCACAGGATGCAGCTTCCAGCTCATCTTGTTTATTCCTCATGCATCAGACTTATTTTACGTTTTGACCTCCTCACTTCCCTTCTGCACCACTTGTTGCAGCCCTGTAGGTCTCAGACCCTTTCCCAGAGTTGAATTGCTTCTTCAAATCTTTTCCCATCTGGACTGCGTGCTCTTTGCTGGAGGGTTTTGATCACCATTCCCTATGGACATGGGCGACTGGTGCCTCCTGAGTCTGGGGGGGCCCCAGCAGGGCACGACTGGGGGTGGGGGGGTCCCCCAGTGACCATCCGGCAACCAGGGGGGCATCCCCCAGTGGCTGGTCGCCGAACACACCAGCAGCACAGCAGTGGCAAAAGTGTCAGCACTTCCACTGCTGGCAGAGCCAATTTCAGGAGGGGCACTAGCACTCTCTGTGCCCCTCTACCAGCCAGACTGCTCACTGTCAGGGAGGGCACCAGCGTTCTCGGGGGGGGAGAGAAGGCATATGCTCCACATACCCCCTCCCCATGTGTCGCCTATGCCTATGGAACCTAGTTTAAAGCCCTACTTACTAGGTAGGCCAGACAACCCTCAAAGATGTTCTTCCCCGCTCTTATCAAATGGATCTCATCTCTTGCTAACAGTCCTCTTCCCAAGAACATCCATCTAGTGTTGAAGAGGCCAAAGCCTTCACATTTAAACCACCATCTATTCCACTGCCTCACTATTCTAACACTGAAGCAGCTTTTCCTGATCATGCCCATGGACACCTCCCCTGCAGACCAGATCCAGCACCCACGGTGCCCACTCTGGGTGGTTCAGGGCATAAGCTGCACACAGCACCCGCTCCAGTTGCTCTAACGTGGGCACTGTGTGTAGCATGAGTTCCAGACTGGATGCCACATGTGGTGCAGTCCTGAACTGACCAGAGTGGCCACTGAATCAGACAGTCCCCAGTGGCTGCAGCTGGGAACTGCAGCTGGACTCAGAGCTGGTAAGTAGGTGGGGGGTGGGACTGGGGGAAGGGGGAGGAGACCATGGGGAGACCCTTGCCAGGCCCCATCCCCTCCCTGCTCCCCCAACCCCTGCCCACTCCCCCAGCCCACCCCACCATGGCTTCCCCAGCTGCCCCAGCTCCTGTCCCTTTAAAAAAAAGCCCCACTCACCAGGTGCAGCTGGGCAGGGGGGGAATCTCCGCAGCCTCCCAT